GGTGTGACCCTGCCACAGAGTGGGGTAGCCAATGGGAAAACATTGGGGTGTTTATGTCTCTTCAGCCAATCACTAGGAGTTTAATCACTTTTTATCAGTGGTGCATGCTGGGGAAGTGCATACAGTAAGTACTCAGGAATTGCCATGTGTTCAGGGCAGCCTTCCCCCGGGCCTAGGGTGTGGGTAGGACGTACAGAGTTGGCAAAGCTAACTATTGGAAATACAAAAGCATATTACTGACATTTTGCTGTTATGTCTCTTGAGCTGTAGATGGCAATGTTAGTTTTCTGTGTGCATGTGAGCAAGTTTGGGTGAATATGGGGTCCATAAACCGAGGTAAAGAAAGCAACCACCACGCTACTCCCATGCGCGTTTCTCCCCAAGCAAGGGCTTCGTCTGAGGGGCATAGTATGTGCTTCATAACAGGTGGTTTACATACAAACCAGTGGCGTAACTAGTGACCTCAGGGCCCCGATGCAAAAATCCATGAAGGCCCCCCCCCCCCCAAGAAGAAATAAATTAGATTTTTTTTTTTTTTTATAAAATTTAGACAAGGGAAAAAAAAACACTCTTCTCTTTCATGTCCCCAGCTCCCCATTATCTCCCCCTTCATGTCCCCAGCCTTCCGCTCCCGGACCCCATGTCACCTTCATACTTCCAGCTCCCTGTCTCCCCCTTCGTGTCCGCAGCAGCTCTATTCGGCACTAGGCGATTCTGTGTGATGAGGGGGCAGGGATTACACCGCTCCCACTCATTGGCTGCTGCCCGGCTGGATGATACTTCACGCTGCACCCGGAACCAGGTAAGGGGAGCAGCGTGAAGCATGTAGGGCCCAGGACAGGAGGAAGAGGTCCCGGGACTGACATTAGCGGTTACCGCGATAATAAATATCCTGGTAATCATCTGTTACCAGGGGCCCCTTCCTCCTGTCCTGGGCCACCTCCAAGTGGCGGACCCCAGCGACCCTGGTAGTTCCGCCACTGATCCAAATCAAATCACTCGTGCTCATGAGCGCTGTGTGCGTTCTAGTCACCATCATGGAACGCAGATCATATCCTGTTTGCGTTTCACACGTTGCATAGTAACAGATAATATAGATAATATATTCTATTCAAGATATCATTAATTGTTCACGATATTCAAACAATATGAAGGGGTTCCTTTGGGACTATCTATACGGGGCTATTGTCATATCTGACACTCATCTAAACATAATAACTTATGAATGAAATAACAATAATCAGTGTATTATATTCTATATTTTTTAGTAACCCCTCAATCAGATAATACCAAAAGGAACCATATGAAGATGTATAAGCAGGTCTAGTGGGACTTAACCCAGGCCTTGAATCCCCCTCTTCTTTATGAATTTGGATCACTACTAACAGTTAACGCTAATACACAAATTAGTCAATAGTCAGGAAGTTATTCCCTATCCTATCCTGCAACAGCAGCGTCTTTACATTTCCTGCTGCCCTAGGCAAAACAGCAGCGCTGCCCCTCCTTCTCCCTGTCGGACTGACATTCCGCCGAGTGACCATCAGACCCCCCCCCCCGGAGACATACATTGCGTGCCGCCGCTTCTGCATCAAGCAGCACTAGACGTTTGCGTACGGCGTGACCCCCCAGGGGTGCCGCCCCCGGGAGGGTGCCGCCCTAGGCAAACGCCTAGTTTGCCTCGCGGTAAATACGCCCCTGTCCTGCAATCGAAATATAACTTACCTTCCAACTAGTTATTTAGATATCTCTAAATTAAGCATTTTATTCAATCACAAATAAAATTCCCGATAACTTCCTCCCAAATGACACCCTTCGAAAGAACTTGCAATAGAGACCCCCACACCCCAGGTCTAATTTCACAGCTGTACTCCTCCTTAATATCCGACACGGGTTTGCCTCAACATGTGTACATGAACCGCTGGCATGCAGATCTCAACATCGTGCTCCAAAAATGCATTGATCCTTGAGGCTAATTATAAAGTGCTTCTCCGCTGGTACAGAGTCCCCATCCAGTTGGCGCACTTTATGCCGGCTCAAGACGGCCTGTGCACCAGAGGTTGCCGCCATAGTGGAACATATCTGCACATGTGGTGGTCATGCCCCATAGTCGCCACATTTTGGCGTAAAATATAAAAGATTATTTCCATACTAATGGGTAGTCATATATCACCCACTACCCAGGAAGCTCTCCTTAATGTCAGACCAGTAGGTCTTACCACTTTACAATTTAAAGTGACATTAAACCCTCAGATTTTTTAACATAAACCAATACTGTAATGTGTGCCTTACTGTAATCCATGGTAGTTTCCCTTCTCTTTGCTGCTCTTCCTTTTAAATCCTCATGGCTTCTCATGCTGGGGGAGAACTTCCCTTTGCAGCTGAGGGCCTCTTCCTGTAGTGCTGGCTCAGGTTACAAACCTACACACAGACACCATATATCCATTCCTGAGACAAGGCAGTCTGCTGCAAAACAGAAGTTCTGCCCAGCATGAGAACAGATACAGATTTAAAATGAAGAGCAGCAAAGAGAAAGGAAACAACAATGGATTACAGTAAGGCACACATTACAGTATAGTTTTATGTTAAAAAATCTGAGGGTTTAATGTCACTTTAAACTAATGCTTTACGTGTTATCAGCAGCAAAGCGTACTATAGCTAGAGCATGGCTGTCGGACTCCCTGTCTATATCAGAAGCTAGAAATAAAATACATTGGACCTTTTACAATGAAAAACTTACGGCCCGCCTACATGATACAATGTCAGTGTCGTGCACGGCGCTTCTGTCCCCTTCAGCGCCGCGGCACCTCTGCTGTGACGTCACGAGGGGTCACGCCCCCTGACCGCGGCTTCCCCTTATAACAAAGTCCCTTCCAAGCCTCCGGCAGTGAACGTCCAGGGGGAGCCGGAATTTAAGGTGGAGCAGGTACTGGACTCGCGTATCCACAGGGGCCGGCTTCAGTACCTCATCAGATGGAAGGGTTACGGGCCCCAGGAGGATTCCTGGGAAAGCTCCGCCGATGTACACGCCCCTAGACTATTGAAGCAATTTCATGCCAGGCACCCTGGGAAGCCTGCTTCTCGCCGGAACCCCGGTGGGGTTCCCCTGAGGGGGAGGTACTGTCAGGGTCGTGCACGGCGCTTCTGTCCCCTTCAGCGCCGCGGCGCCTCTGCCGTGACATCACGAGGGGTCACGCCCCCTGACCGCGGCTTCCCTTTATAACCGCTGCGGAGACACACACTCGGCGTTCTGTCAATGTGGAACGTCGAGCGTTGTCTCCGCACGAACCGCTGAACCCTACAAGACCTGGACTTACTTGACGGCCGGGGATGTCCCGAGGGACACTCAACTTGGCTCAATCCAGCACTCAGTCTCCTCTACCCAGCCACGCTACCTCCTCCTAACCAACCTCTGAACCCAGCAGGACGGAAGGGTCTCCGCTCTACAAACCCAGCTCAACCGCAAGTATCGGGGCACAAGATAATTTATGCACTGCTTCAGCTGCAATACCATACCCTGCCTGTGCTGTTAGCATATGAACTGATTGAGCTGCAATACCATAACCTGCCTCTGCTGTCAATACATGCTTGAGCTGCAATACCATACCCTGCCTGTGCTGTTAGCATACCCTTGCTGGATCGTGTCATACAATGCCTAAATTTGAAAAACATTGGAAACCGTGGGTCACACACTTTCTCCCCCCGTCATTCGATCACCAATTAGTCACCCTTTAACATAAATTCTCTCCAGACGACTACTAACTTAAATTGCTACCGAATTTACAAATTGAAAAATCAAGTGCTCTTCCTTGCCCCTACCCCTACCCTTCCTTTCTTCCCCCCATTCACATTTACTCCCCTTTCTCCTTCTTTCTTGCTTACTTTTTAGTCAGACATTTTATCCCCTTTTTCTTTATTTTTTATCTAAAATGTCTAAGTAGATAGTATTCTAGTGATATCTCATCAACATGTTTATTCAATGCGTAGCCAGCTGTATTGTTAACTGACCCACCCCTATTGAACTTTACTTGATGTCCCATGCTATCCTGTACTATTATTAGACATTTATGTACCAATGTTACACTTCTTTTTGTAAATGTTAAACACCTAATAAAAATATTTTGAACAGAAAAAAAAGCAGACCCCCCAACACACACACACACACACACACACACACACACACACACACACACACACATAATAAACCTGACTACCATAATACAGTCTCTTAGCTAAAACTAATAGTAACTAACTAAAAGTTAGTAGTACTTACCTGTCTCCTCTTTGTATGGTTGTCTCAGTCTCAGTGCTATGTGTCCCCCGTCTGCAGGAAACCCACCCCATCAAAATAAAAAAAAGGAAAAAACTTTTGGTGCATTGCATGGCGTGATCAGTGGGCCGGCAGAGGAGGAAGAAGAAGCGGGCCCCTGGATCAGATTACCTTGCTGGGGAAAAGGGACTTCCCCCTGAGATCTCACGAGATAATGAGGGGGAAGGGCCTTTGTTTTCAATAGATAACATTATGTTGCGCATGCTATGTGCATGCGCAAGATTAGGCGTTTGGCATCATGCACTCCATCTCACGCATGCGCCGTACACCATTACAATCATCTGCAAAAAATTATTTTAATGTTTTTCCCCCAGATTTTGCAAGATTTCACCCCAGTTAGGACTGGAGATCTCCCTGGAAGGCACTGGTGACGTAGCCTTCCTGGGGGACACCTATGAGGCCCTGGCTATGTCACCAGTGCTCCAGAAAACCAGGAAGTGGGAGCGCAGTTTAGGAGATTAAAAGAAAAATATTGAATCTATCCCTATAGTATAATTTTACATCAGAGCTGCATATTGATGTGAATTTTTGGGAAAAGGGCATAAAGGTTCACTTTAAGATTCTGCCCACTTCCTGCCTTGTTGTCCTCACTAAGTGAGGAAAATCGCCCCTAGGACGACAAAGACAACAATAAAACGTAATAATGATTTATGTTTCGGTTTATTTGAATACAGCAAAACAAGATTTTTGTCTGCAGCAAAACATTTCAAGAAACAATTTCTTAACATTTTCCCATTTTGACAAAATGCACAGGAAGTCTGTTCTCGCATCTTATGCAGATTAAATTATTGTCATTTGTGATATTATATGGACAAGGGGGAGTCACATCAGATGCGCGTCTGCAAGTGATGAGCTGGAACCTTGAGGAACTTGATACATCGGCGCGGCCTGACACCGCGCTACAGATGGCCTTTACAGTGGTAGCAGATGAAACGATGAAAGTGTTCACTGGCTTGCAGCGACCCATTATGATGAATATGCTGTTCTGCATCTTGGTGTCACAGTTGACGGTTGCTGCGCCTACAATGTGCTTCTGCTGAAACGATGTCCAATTCTGAGATGAGGACGGATGGGGGAGACTCAGGATGATCCCAAATATCAGGACAAGAGGGTATTTTGGACACATTCTGACCATTACTTTTTTTACTCCCTGTTTTCTTTCTTTCAAAATAATAATAATAATAATAATACGGACAGCCATTTAATGCACATGATACCCTTAGCCCCTTCATGACTGAGCTTGTTTTCAGTTTTTGTAGGGGTGCGGGTGATCATATTCATACGCCGCCTGAATGGATCCTGTATGCGTCCCGGCCAGAAAACTCGCACCCCTACGAACCTGCAAATGATGTGAGCGTAGGGGGGCGTACGGCCGCATAGCCCCATAGAGAAGGACGGGGGCTGCGTACTAATCACACGCAGCACCTGTCCTTCCCGGCAGCTGTTTGGTACAGCCCCGCACGCACTCAGCACGGAGCTGTACGTGCCGGCCGATTCGTGTGTAAATGGGGCCTTAGGCTGCTTCAAACTTAAGAACAGCCAATGATAGTGACGTCTGATCCTGCAGCATTTCAGGATCAGACGTCACTAAAAGGTTTTCTTATCGTGCCAACAACGTTCAGAAACCATTCAACATTGTATCAGCAATAAAAACCTGTATCTAAATGTTTCTATTGCTGAAAGTTTTGGGGAAAAAAAGCCAGTATACATCGGGATTTCCCGATCTATACCAGCTGTCAGTGAGAGCAGTAAATGTGGCTCTGCTCTCACTGTCGGACACCTGAAAGGGATTGGGTGTCTGAAAAAGCTTAACTCTTTCATTTCTCAGCAGTTGCCAGCCTTACAGAACCCTAAATAGCTGATCACGTACATCGTACGTGAGCAGTCATTTTGGCACTTTGTTGCGGGACATACAGGGTACTTCTCCTGTCACAAAGGAGTTAATGTGGCTGCTATGGAGCCTGGGGTAGGAGGGGGGTCCAGCATTAGGGGGTGCTGATTAGAAAAACTAAACTGTGAGGTTTCCAGTATAGAAGGGCTGAAGTCAGACCTCAGGATGCTCTAGTCACAGATCCTTCTCTGTGCAGTAAGGAGCATTTGCTTATCTATATTAGCAATGTAGATTTATAACCTTCAGAATTTCTGCTACAGAATGAAATATACCCCACATGCCTAATACAGTCACAAATCCCAGAGTTTCCCCAAACTAAAACCTTATAAGAGGGCCGAGGTTTGTAGTTCTATAAAAAAAATAAATAATGAAGCTAGAGTTTGTAGGGTTGACGAGTGTGTACAAGAGAATTAATGTTATCATAATATAAAATATAATTCGGGTTATTATTATTATTATAATTTGTGCTACTTTTACCCCCAGCACTGCTCCCTAGTACTATACTGACTATGCTTGCAGCTCTCTTGCTTGCTTTCCTTGACACATACTTGATGTTAAGATCAATTATATTTTTCGTCTCAGTTCCCACTGCGTGCCACTACAGAGAGAGTTAGCTCAAAGTTTTGCTATGGGGCCCCATGGTTTGTAGTTACACCCCTGGAGATGACCTTTTTTTTTAGATACACCACATGCAGCACAGCACAGCACAGCACAGCACAGCTCATAGTTTGTGTGTATTGTGGTGCTCTGCCCTTTACTGTATAGTGTGTTGGTATGCCATTGACAATCAATGACACTGCCCGCCCAGCGTTGATGCATGTTCCGGTACTAGGGTTGCCACCTTTTCTTCCAGCGAAACCCGAACACTGAAGCGACGCACGAAAATGTTTTTGGGAGAAAGAGTCGTGGCTTATTCATATGTACATAGTGTCACCCAGTCATATGTAAATATCACAGTTGAGACTATTTTTGGTTGCCCCTGTCTGCCTGACATCTTGTGTCCGGGTTTCAGCTGCCATGAAACCCGGACACAGCATTCAAAACCCAGACAGTCTGGGTGAATCCTGGACAGGTGGCAACCCTATCCGGTACTATGCATTAAAACATGCATTGTAACATGCATAACTGTAATGCATAAAGTGGCTATGTCCAGGATTAGGTACAAATGGATCTCAAAAAAGAAATGGATGGCATTTGTGGGGAAACGGCCATATATATATGCAGTATATATATTCTGTGTATTTAGCTGTTTGCTGGGAGTTCAGCTATAAAATACGGAGAGAAAGAAACCGTCAAAAAACTAGGAAGTGACTTACCGCCCTTCTAGCTTCTGTATCCTGTTAGATAGTCGGAGAACTCCAGAGAAGATCTATGAAAAGATGACAAGTATTGAGCTATGAGTAACCAACACCAACTGGAATTATAACAATAAACACAAGGACATGGCAGAATTACAATCTACTATAGTGTGTCCCTCTGCAGCTCCCATACCTGTTATGTAGTTGGACTTCACTGTCTGAGCAATCTTCACTCACTGTGTTTTGTTTTTGCTTTGCCTGGGTTTTATATAAACAGATTGCAAAATGCCAACCAAAAACCAAGTGTGCACGCAGCCTGTCCCCGCCCTCTTAACACAGAGTTCAAGGATCTGATATTTGGGGTGTCAGATGATTTCCTCTTTCTTGCCTAGTAAAAAAAAAATAAAAAAAATGGTATTATAAGAAGAAAATGAAATATAAGACTTTGTACATATTTCATGTTGATGCATCTGGAATGCCTGATTTAAACTAAAAGTTCAATTTGGCTTTAACCTATGGAGTTCCTCCTAGACTCCAAAAGCATGCTGGAAGTTTAATTGGCTCCCATCTAAACTCCCCCTGTATGTATACCTGTGAGATTGAAACCATAGAATGTAAGCTCCTTGAGTGCAGGGACTGATATGAATGTGCATTATGTAAAGAACTGCGTAAAAACTGTCAGCCCTATATAAATTATATATAGTTAAAAAAAATAATAATAATATTTTCCGGATGTATTTAGACTGGTTACATGATGCACTGGGTCCCCCTCCTCTTCACCTCTTCTGCGGTGCTGGATGGTCCTCAATGATTCCTCATTACACAGTAAGTGCAGGGCCCACCATTACTCAGTGGGTGGGTCAGTTACAGCCTGCACTTACAGGAGCCTGAGACCATAAAACATTCTGTCTTGGTTTCTTTCATTTTTAGATTTCCTTCAAGTTGTGTAAAATGTGTTTTGAAAGTAGAATTCTAGACCGCACTTTATGTTACGTTTTGGAGAGAGTGAGGAGGGTGTAGAACCTCTGTCATTTGGTGTCTCTGACCTGTCCTAGATTTCCCTCCATTTCCTGTCCCATAGAATTGGCAAAATGGAAATCTTCCAATAGTGAGGGAAAATGCCACTCCTGACACTAGAATGGGTGTCCCCATTGATATCCCGTCAGCGACAACCATTAAATGGATTCCCCCCATCTTCTTTCATATACATTTGTAAATGTGATATCATTTTATAGGTTATGACCGAATATTATTTTTATTGCTGTATTCGTGTTTGTTCTGTTTTGATATTTACTAAATATCATAATACTTAAGATATTTACTTAAATGCACAAATTATTATGATTTCTTTCTTTTTTTTTTTAAATAAATGACCTGGCAACAGGGTTACACATAAACTGTATAGTAACATCAACTTCCTTTTTACCAAGACATGTAATGATTACAGTGCTATGTGAGCTCCAAGTAATTATAAATGTTGATGGCAATTAATAGTTTAATCATACATGCCACGTATACACAAACATAGTCCATTGCAGACACATGGGAGTAACCATCCCTGACTTTTTTATGAGATGCTCATGTATTATACTTTATTATGATGTACTGTAGTTGCTCTTGTTTGGGTGTGCTCTCAGATATTATACAGCGGGTGCCCCCCCCCCTTCTTCCTAGAGACCCCTCCAGAGGTCTAAAGCCAACATTTTGTCTAGTTTTGAAAAGAGAGTGGAATGGTTAGATTCCATGTCAGGTTTTATTACTGTCTGTGTCCCAGCTGGGGATATTCCCCCTCTCTATTTCTTCTGCTGTCCATTGTCACTAGAACAGAAGATGATAAGAAAATATTTTAAATGAACAGAGGGAAAATCTTCCAATGAAGACATCTGTTCCAGATTGTTTTCTATGTGTCAAGTGCAGAACAATGCCATTGATTGCGCATACTGTGAGCAGGCCAAAATCAGCACTCAATCCAGTATGTACGGCCCACAACCCACCAGAGGAAACCAGGACAGAACCTTCCTAGGTTGAAATATTCTACTGTGTTAATCAGGAATAATTATGCAAATAGAAAAGGCAAAATATTTTTATTATATACGTTTTAGTCAAAAGTCAGTTTACCCAAACGTGATTATAGGTAGACCATGGTGGACTGAGTCAGCCCCTGGCTTCTTCTATACTTTCAGCAGTAACATCTCCCTTCCCTAGTTCCCGGCTCTGTTTTTGTTAACCTGGGAATTCTGGGTGTTCCCACCCAGCTTTGTGAGTTGGCTTTCCTGTGCTGACTGCTATGTCCAATAACGACCATGCTAAGCAATGTCTACTATGTTGGGGCTTCCATCAATACTTATATTTGGAGATTTCAACAAGTACCACCTGTAAGGCTCCTATATGGCTGAAGAACCACCAACTAAACCCACAAAGTAATACTAGGACACCCGCCCTCCAATCCAAAGGTCCAACATGCCTCCTTTGTACTATTACACATCCATTTTGGTATTTGCATAACGCTTCCCAAGAGTTAGCCCTCTGCTTGAATCAGGGCTGAGGGTTCTTTAGTGGAGTACTGAGGCAGGCGTATTCAGCAAGCTGTGCACAGTACCCTGCTGGCCCCTCCCACCAGCCATGATCTTCTTGCATTGCACTGAGAAGCAAAGAGATGACCTATTGATTACATAATTGGGAGTGAAATAAGATATGCAATGGAAATGCAAAGCTTTTATTCAAATGTGCCATAAATATGTTGATAGGAGGAACCAGGAAAGGCAAAATAAATGCAGATCAGACCTCATGTTAAAAAAATTCACCTAGATGTGAGCGGAGGGGCAGGTAAAAGACAGGATCTCTGCTCGTCCATATCTTGTATTTTATAACAAAAATACAAGGCTTTTTGTGAATAGGTGAGGGGAGAGGAAAGAGAGGGTGACCAGTGGGATCCCT